ATGGAGAGTGGGTGGGGCCCGAATATCCATGAGAGTGGGTGGGGCCCGTATCTCATAGTTGCATAATATTTGCATGATATATGGTAGTTTGGGGAGACTCACTAAGCTTCGTGCTTACAGTTTCAATTTTTGTTTCAGGTACTTCCGGGAGCAAAGGGAAGAGCTCGGGATGATCGCATGACACACACCACAACATTCAACCTGGGATTATTTTGATGCTCTGATATTTTATCATATGTTTTGTCACAGTACTTGATTTGAAATTTTGAGATACATGATGTATGGTTTTCTTTATGGTTATGGATGACTTACGGTTTTATAATAATTTTCTAAATGAAATTTTTGGAGCGTGTTTTAGGGACGTTTCATTTCCCAACCTGATCCGTTCAATTTATATGCATCACAGATAGCAGACATAAGACTATTGAAGTCTTGAATAGGATGTTGAGTGATTGAAGAGAAGACCAACAATGGTGTTCAGGAGTGTTAGGTCTTTACTTTGTAACATATGTTGTGTATCGACTATGACATCCTTAGAGTTATTATTATTTTGAGAAAATCATTTGTACTCAAAATATTTTAGGGTACTAGGATTTTCTGCAAACAAAGATGTTATGAATTTTAAAAGTGTAAAGAAAATATTTTTTTGGCTCTGAAAAATAAAGGATGTCACAAATCTGATATCAAATGTTGGACCTATTTTGACCGACTAAGGTGTGGAATAATAAAAACATGAAGTTTAACTGTAATGAAGATGATGACCAAAAAAATGAGTAATCTTCTTATCAATATAAAGAAAGAACAAAATATTACAATGAGAAACTCTTGACGTGGGAGAGATTTCTCACCCACTCTTTCTAACTTGAAAAACACTACATTTTTTGTATACTAAATGACCACACACTCAATATTTATAGAGAGAGTGTAACATCGCATAAATCAAGGGTAAATTTTCATTTTTATTATATTCAAAACACTAGTGTAATTTCATCCAAACATTGAAAAGCATTTCAAAATAAAACAATTATCAGAGTATTTCCCAAAATCACATATTGCAGAAAACATAGGTGTATGCGCTATAATCAAGTCGGGCCCTTCCCTTTCGAACTGAAAGTACCTGAAGCCATAAACCACAAAATATAAGCATAAAGCTTAGTAAGTTTCCCACATACCAAACATATCAAATGAGCCATACATATATAATCAATCAATAAAAGTGATATGTGCCTACCATAGTCTTGCCATTATGCCATGAGCCGCCTCCTGGTCTCCCTTGTCAGGACGGGGGCCAAAACCCTGGGTCTTACAAACAAGTTCCATGAGCCACCTTCGGGTCTTCCATGCAAGCATCACAAGACAACTAGCATACAATCTACATTACTTAACTAATTATCTGCCAAAGTTCAGACTCTGGTCTTGCATACAGTTTGCCAGGAGCCGCCTCTTGGTCTTTCATACAAACTACCAAGGATTACCCCCGGGTCTTCCTACAATACATAAAACAAATGGGCTTGCATTGGTTCCTTTAACCAATAAAACCATGTGGAGACCCACCTCGAATGCCGAAGCTCACTGAAAGAAATCCCTAGCTGCTGCCCTGACGACTCCTCCGAGCTATCAATACCAAAATAACTCCAAATTAGCAATTGGGTTCCAAACTATCATCCATAATCCGTACTTTGGGTAAAATAACCATTTTATTGATGGGTTTTGGTCATAAGAACATCCTATGTGCTCATACAAACCCTAATGCTTGGATCTAGGTTTCTCTATTGTACATGCAAGTTATCCAAGACTATAAACCCTAATTCTAGCATACAAGTAATCATATTAACATAAGAATGGGTTTAAGACATTACCTTGATTGTTATGTAGCAATAACAATCCAATTCCTCCTTGTATTGACTTTAGAAAGCTTAGAGTCAACAATTTCACTCCTCTAATGGTTCACAAACACCAAGAGCAAGAGGATGAAGAGGAGAGAGGATGGAGGCTGCCCAAAACGTGTTCTAACCCTAGAAGAGAAGTTCCCCACGCTTTTGAGCCTTAAGGGTTCTATATATAGTGAGGCTATTAGGGTTATCTAACAAGGAAACCCTAATTTGGATGCTTAAGCCCTAAGCAACCCATGGACTCTTTTCCTTAAGGCCTTGGACGATTTCCCCATGGGTTTCCCCATAGAATTCGTCCACTCCTTAATATAAGACAATCCATGGCCCAAATTGCAATTATCTTATAATTACAATTACAGTCCCTTAAGTTTAATTAATCTCTTTTAGTCACAAAACTAATTACCAATTAATAAATGACTAACATTAATTAAACAATATGATTTCTCCTTTAATATATTATTCTCATAATATATTAATAAATCATATTTAATCCTTTCTCTCCACAATTCATCCTATCAAGTTGCTTTGGTGAAGGAAACCCAAAAGGACCATGCACCATTGGGTCAAGTACATACCAAAATAGTTATGGACTTAGACACTAATCCAACATTTACTACTAGCCTAACAAGACTCACAACTGAGGCCCAAGCCCAAAACCAAACAAGCCCGAAACTAAAAGATCTATAAAGGCCCACTAATGGCCCAATTTTGCAAATTAGGCCCAACCCCCATATGGGCCTTATCCTAAAGCCCAAAACTTCCCTTAGTCCAATAACTGATCTCAGATGGCCTAAAGGCCCTAGCAACAAGTCCAATAAGGTGGCCCAAAGGTGCGAAGCCCCAAAACACGCCAAATCCACTTCACACCGAACGCGGGGTGTACACTCAACTACATTGGGCGTACTCGAGGTATCCAGATCATGATCTCAAATCAGTACGTGGGACGTAACCTGGCTTAATCGAATCTCAACTTTATAGCTTAATCACTTAAACGCTTTGCACCCAAACTTCAGAGGAACTTAAAATAAAGCTCTTAATTCATAAAGTCGTCACCTTTATGCATTTGCATGACTCAATAGGACCCAACAACCAAATTAATCCATTAAGACTCATTCTAATCCAACTAGAACATGCATACACCATTCTTTAACATCAAGCAATCATTTTTATAAAGTAGAAATATCAGAAGAGGCAATATTTATCACTCCAAGCTCCTGGAGTGGCTCAAACTCACAAGGAGAAATCAATAGACCATAAAAACCCTTAATTTTTCCCTAAACTCAAACTAGCACAATAAGAAGCCAATATGAGAACTTTATACCTTGAATGAGCTGGAAATGAAGCCAAAAGTTTGGATCTAAACGTCCTCCTTTGAACCACAAGCTAGCACCAAGCACCCTTTTCTTGGAAATAAGCAAGAACACACCAAATGGCATATTTAGATCTCTCTCAAACACTCAAAATGAGATTAGGGTTTCCAAAATGAGGCTAGAATGTAATGAAGGATGAGAAGGAAAGAGCCTTGAGCTCATAAAGATGTTTATATAGTGCCTAAACCCTAAAAAATAGGGTTTGACACTTTGACCATTATGTTGGGTGTACCCCCAGCTTAAGCTAGGCGTACCCATCCAGACACACGCATTCCATCCTTGCATGCATGGGACCGATTTGCCAACTATTTCCATTAGGGGAAAAATCTGCCAATATCTTCAAAATGCCACAACTTCCTCGTCTTAGTTTCCAACGAACCTTATATCCACGGAAAGGTGGCAAGAAACCCTATGCTTCCAAAAACACACCCAACCCTTAAAACTTCCCGAACAAAACGCAAAACCCATAAAAGACCGAGTCATCAAATTATGATTGTACCCTTGGCCCCCGAAGACACAATCGAACACTTGGATCACTTAAATCGTAGCACCCACACCCCAGGAGGGCAACCCCTAAGCCTCATGACCACTGAAGATTGAGCTGCAACCCCGAATAAAGAAGCAAATCTGAAACCGAGTGTTACAGAGAGGGAAACATTCTAGAAGATAAAGGGAATATATAACCTAACTATCAGTCAACATTCTAGAGAATTTTGTGCTCTAACAATTCAGAGATTAAGATGTTGAAAAGATGCATATCAATTTTCTAGATTCGTTATATTATTTGAGAAATTTAAATTTGCAAATGGCCCCGATAGATGGCAGTTGATTGGTAATGGTGATAATGATTTCTCAATCAAAGCTCTAAAGCTATTAATAAACATGGGGGTAGTGATGATATTTTTTTAATTCGGTGAAGTGGATCTCTTTGAAGTTTAATTGGTTTGTTTGGAGAATGATCAAAAATAAGATTCAAATCTTTACATATATGTTGAAACATGAGATAAATGTCCATTTCAATTTATGTCCTTTTCTGTCATGTGGCGGAGGAGAGTTTTGATCATGTTTTCTTTAAGTATGAGGTGGCTTCGAGGCTATGGAGGTGGTTGGTTGAGTGGTCATCGATCACACATAAGGAGCCTGTCTCTTGCTCGAAATTATAAGAGATGATTTCAAGGATCGATGATAAGAGAATGCAAAAATTGAAGTTATCGCTTATTTACTCTATTGTTTGGGTGAAGCAAAGAATGTGATAATATACAAAAATGAAGGGTAAACGGTTATTTTTATGGCAGATGATATTAGTATTAACACAAAAATAGAACTAAGTTGAGTATGCTTGATTTGTCTCTTTGATTTATGTCTCATATTTCAAATATGTCTTGTATTTAGGCTTTTTGCTTAAGTTTATTTTTTATATTGTGTTAATGTATTGACTACTGATTAAAAAAAAAAAAAAAAAAAAAAAAAAAAAAAAAAAAAAAAACTAAGTTGAGTAGGCTTATTTTTTATGTTAATACTACCAAAAAAAGAGCTAAGTTATTTTTATGGCAGACATATTAATATTAACATAAAAATAGAACTAAGTTGAGTAGGCTTGATTTGTATCTTTGATGTATGTCTCATATTTCAAATATTTAAGTCTCTTTTTTTTATTGTGTTAATGTATTGACTACGGATAAAAAAAAAGTCATAAAAGAAAAGAAATAAAATAAGAAAACCTTTAAATTTATATTACAGCCAAAATAAAATATTATATGAACAAAAGAATTAAAGGAATCGACGTTGATGCCTAACTTATACATGTTTAATCCGTTCTTTGTATTATTTATTAATGATTCTAAAGTTTGATGCTTATTTAAAAGATTATATTTTCATAATCAATGTTTAAATAGAAAGAAACAAAGCTTGATTCATTAATCTTATTTAAAGAAAAGTAGAGAAGAAAATACTAGATCTTCATATATTCTATCTTTTTGCTTTTTTAGCCCTTAATCCGCATGAAATTGGTTAACCAAGTTGATGAAAACTTAGGATATCGTCTCAAATCATTGTTATAATCCACAAAATGTAGCCCAAACCGGACGGTATAGCCACGATCCCATTCGAAGCTGTCCATCAATGACCGTGCAAAGTAACCCTTCACATTCACTCCTGAACTACATTCATTCAAACACATGGTGTCATTTCCATTCTAAAATCATCTGCACATCCACTACTACAAAAAATTAGCATCAGTGAGAGAAATAGAAACATACAAAAAAAAAAACAGATTTTAGTATTAGAAAACAACACTAAAACTGAAATTCGCCGCTAATTATCTATACACTTACAAATACACGACTACACATAAAACACAGCTACCAATATATACATATAAATTTATGCATGCAAACATACATACATACCTACGTACTTATAAAGATACAAATATATGTACAGTCATACAATGTATATACATATAGTCAATTAGTCATATACTCATACACATACATAATTATTAACTATTAAGCATGTATATACATATACGTACATACCTATATATATACTTGTGGACACACATACATACATACATAATACATATAAACTTATTAGATTAACGAAAGTACTTCCTTAGCTAATTTTTCAAAATTTATGCTGATATTGCATTGCGATGTACCATAGCAGCGAATTGAATCCGGTGCTAAGCTGTCACTAAACGGGTTAGCGTCAGTTTTATGTGTGACTACTTATTTTTTTTTCTTTTGTTTATAAATCCAAAGATTTTTTTTTCTAGTATATGTATATTGATCTTCGAGATCGTTTCTTAGTGTATGTCCAAGAATTCGAGCAAGAAAGACATTACTTGATACATTGTAGAAGCTTCTGAAGATGAACAACATAATATTGAACCCGGAAATCGTCTTGTAGAACAGTTCGGAGAGATAACGAGGAATTGTTAGGCTCATCAACTCCTACAAAAAACAAAAAATTTAAATAAACGTGCAACAAAAAATTTCCTATTTATACTAATTAATTACCATTTTCTGTAATGTAAATTATTGGATTGTTGTAGTTGTTTTTAATGTACACTAGAAGATCGTGAATTCCTTGTGGGTATGACCGAAGCCAATCCGATCCACCCTGAAAATAACGTCACTTTATTGACTCTTCTTCAATTATTTTACCTCAAAAAAACATAAATTCTGTTAAAGAATTTACCTTTGAACCAATTGGAATTCCATTCCTTTCAACTATTAAACAAAAAAGAATTACATAAAAGATACAGTACGTTATAATTTGATTTAATTCGTATAACATATGATGCACTTATGTAGTGTAACTTGTTCTAACGTACTTGATAATTCAGCTTGAGAATCGGAAGAACGAGTCATGTTATCAGTAACAGCTTCAGAAACATGTTGCACAAAATTCGCTGTGTAGTAATTCAATCCAAGAAAATCCAACGAATTCTTTAATGTGTAGGATTCTTCTGCTGTGAATCGAGGTAATCTATTTGCAACATTAATTCGCATATTCTCAGGGTAATCCCCAAACGTTAATGGATTCATAAACCTGACATGTTTTTCATTACATCGCAATTAGGATAACGATATACTGTTTAATTATCTTTTCAACACATAAAATATATATATACAGAATTTAACATACATACCAACCAAAATCAAAATCAAGAGCACGAATTGCAGCATCCCGATGTAATTTCACGTCGGAATATGGCACCATCCATCGTGTCACAAGTGAGATTCCAATCTTGCCATTTTGAGGCCCCTAATAATGTTTTTGATATCTTAAATCACCAAATTTACGACACTTTTGGTGTAGTTAATGAATTGAAATGACATGATTAAAACCTTATAGATATCATGATATAATTTGGTGGCAGCTGCATGGGCAAGAAGCATGTTATGAGTGACGATATAAGGCTCGATTCCTGAATCGCCGGCGGGGCATTTACCCACAGCGTCAGAACACCGGCCAGGGGCAAAATTGCCTTTTTCATAACCTCCGACACTATAGCTCCATGGTTCGTTCATGGTGATCCAGTATTTGACCCGATCACCAAATCTTCTAAAACATAGCTCCGCGAAATCACGAAAATCATTCCTGAAAATAATTCATATATGTTTAAATTAGCAAATTATTACATGAAATGCGAATATTTTAATTTGTTACTTACACAACACGGGAACTCAAGAACCCTCCATACTCGTCTTCTAGAGCTTGAGGAAGATCAAAGTGAAATAGAGTCACAAAGGGTTCAAGATCTATCATGATTTATAAACACAGTTTATTAATTACTTACATATTAGTATATGAAAAAAATTTAACAAAAATAATTAGAAGGTAATTAATTAGTGTAATTAAGTATATAACCGTTGGCTCGAAGTTCATTTATGAGGTTATTGTAGTATGAAATTCCTCGCTCATTAACACCACTGCTTACTTTTCCAACTGAAACAAGATTTAAATTACCTCTTAAAACTAATAAAAATTATCACGAATAAATTTTAATAAAAACATCAAATTTTTACGTGGTATAACTCGAGACCATGAGATAGAGAAACTGTACGCATCCATGCTCATTTGCCTTATCATCTTAACATCCTCCTGCATGTATTATTTTTAAGAAATGAATACCACATAATATAAAGAAGCCATTGTTTCAAGAATTATACGAAATTAACCTTGTATCGATGATAACTATCAGTTGCCATGTTCCCGTTACTGTGATCAGCGATCTTGTCTGTAATTGAAATTCTTATGAGTTAAAGAAGTAAATTTATATATATTTATACACATCTATAAAAGCTAAGTATAATAAATAAATTCAATCATGAAACCAGAATGTCTTCGAGTAAAAGTATCCCATATACTTGGCGATCTACCATCTTCATTTGTTCCACCCTCATTCTGAATACATATTAATCAATATACAAATACATTATTAAAAATAATCAAACTCGAACACGTTATGGTCTATAAGTGTTGAATTTTGTGTGTTAAGTTAAAAACTACATAAAAGTAATGCATGTATTTGTTTAAGAAAAAAAAAGTTATGAAATTGATTCACCTGAAACGAAGAAGAAGAAGAACCAAAGATAAAATCACTAGGGAAACTAGACCGGTTAACAGTAGTTAAACCCCAGTTCGGTGGTAAACCCGCATTGGAAACCGCTTCCGATCCTCTAATCAGATAAATCAGTGCTGCAACAAACCCTACAATCATGCCATTAACTCTTGGATGCATTATTAATCTTGTTTTTGCAAACTTTCGAGTTTAATCAATGTGTCAATAGTCGATGAAACTCGTCTAGTTTCTGTTCTATTTATAGTGTTTTCTAGAAAAGATTTGTTATGTATTCGATGATTCAATACTTATAATTTTTACCATAAAGTATTTTAAGTTTCATGCTCATACAAACAGAAGCCCAGGGAACGTGGGACTATTTGTTTGATTAATGAAATGCGTGTTCTATCTACCTCAATCAAATGCATGCTTTATCTACCTCTTTATACACACGCACACGAATACATATAATTAGAAACGATTATTGCTTAGATGATTAAATATAATTATTCCTTCTCAGGATTTAAAAAATAATAATAATAATAATAATAGAATAAAAAATAATAATAAATAAATATATCTAGTATTATCCAAAAAAATAACTATGTTTTTCTTTTTCATTTTCTCCACATCATTTTGTTAGAAAAATTAAAGCAAAAACTTAGATGTATTTCTTTTTGAAAATTATGGTGTATAAGAAGTTCTTATGATTTTTAAGTTCTATTTTATGTTGATGAAATAGCCTTGGTTACACCAAAGCTAATCAATAATAAATTTTTCAAGATCACTTCTGTGGATTGGGATTTATTGGAAGGTTCTTTCTTGATCGTTGGTCATTTCGTTCATCGTCAATAGCAGAGGTTCTTCGAAAGTTTTGAGTTGTATCAGTGGAAGTCAATGAATGTATCAATCTATCGTCAAAATCTGTACATTGTACCTTTTGGTTTCAAAGTATGGGTACCCTCAAATCTTGGTTTTGGAAGTATTATTCATAGCAGGCTCGCTTTTGATAGATGTACTTGGTTATCGGGAGTTTAGAATTCGAGTGGTATTGTGTAGCTTTTCAGGTGTGACTTGGGATCCACGCAAAATCCAATTTTTTTTGGCATGTCATGTCGACAGGGTTGGTAATTGGATTGATCCGAACAGGGTTTTAGCAACATTTTTAGATAAATTTGGAAGTTTTATCGAGCTAGTTACATATTGGTGGAACCTGTTTAGTTTCAATCAAGGTGTGAGATCTTGTTTTAGTCATTCAAGAGGATGTTTTTGTTAATGGTTGAGGTTCTCCATTGTGACAATAGTCAATTTCGGGTCAAGTCAAAGTCCAAAAAAGTCAACGAAACAAACCAGTCAACTCAATTAAACCTTGTATATTAGGGTTTACGTTATGTAATTACTGTATAACTCACTATTTTAATGAGAAAATATCACTTGGAAAATTCGTGTGTTTAATTTTCCTTAGCCTTAGTGCTAAACAATGAACCAAACCGATAAAACAATGTTGCATACTCATCTGGAGTGTGTAAGATCTTAAAACATGGCTTAATGGGGTTTACGGAACTTGCATTGCGAAGCCGGACTCTCAAAAATGTCACAAACAAAACCTCTCTCAATCATATTCACTCTATCTCTCCTAAATATCTCTCTGAATGCCAAATCTCTCCAAATATGTGGAATCCCTCCTAAATCTCTCTCCGTATGTGAAATCTCTCCAAGTATGTCAAATCTCTCCCAAATCTCTCTCCGTATGTGAAATCTCTCTAAGTATGTCAAATCTCTCCCAAATCTATCCAAGAATGTCCAATCTCTCCCAAATCTCTCCAAGAATGTCCAATCTCTCCCAAATCTCTCTAGAATCACTCGGGGCATCCCGACCCTTAATTTAGTCAAAAACCGCTCGAAAACGGAAGTCTACGCGAAAAACAACCTTAAGGAGCCAAAACCCCTCTTAAGGAGCCGAAACCCCTCTTAGGGCTAAAAGTCCTCTTAGGGACCGAACCCTCTTGGACAGGACCCGAAGGCTGCTGAACCGAAACCAGGAGGGCCGAACCCGAAGGGTGCTCTCGGGCCCGAACCTCGCACAAGGAACCGAAGCTACCTTCGGCCCATTTCGCCTCTTACCCTCTTTCGCTTCATTTCGCCTTCGGCCCATGACCAGAAGGGACCGAACCTCGGCCAGGACCGAGAGGTCTCGTAGGAAAGCCCATTTCTTCCCGGTTTTCAATTCCGACTTCGTTTTTCATCGTTTTAACGCGGGATTTTCACCCAAAACTTTATTTTATCAATTAAAGCCTCACAATTCATTAATTCCCACATTTTTGGTGCAAATCTTATCCAAGAAATGAGTGGGTGAAGTACAAAGGTTGAGTGTTGACTTTTCTTTGTATTATAACACAAGCAACCACCATACCCACTCCATGACTAACCCACACTCCTCCCCACCATACCTTGTCACTTCATTGTACTTTTCCTCTCTCTCACAAATTAATCCCACATTCTTAGAGCTGGACACTCATCCCCTCTCCTCATTCTCACTCACTTGCTCTAGTTTCACTAAAGATCAAACACCTCTTCTCTCTCTAACTCCCTCTCACAAAAACGATATTTCCAAGGCATTTCCAGCTTTTCTCCTTCACTTGGTAAGTATAATTTATCCTCCTTGTGATAATTACACTTCATTCTACTCAAATCATTGATGGCTTACACAAACTCCATCACTTTGATGTTAGATTCTCGAAAATCTTCAAGGCATCGTTAAGTGTTCTTGAGGTTAACACTTCCCTTCTCCAACAATCATTTACTGAAATCACATAAGGTGAGTTCATACCCCCTATATTTTCATGTTTTCTTAAGTTTTAAGGGGGGGGGGGGATACAAGTTAAAACACCAAGAACCTAACTAAACTTTTCTAACAGCCTTCATCAGAAAAGTTAGACTCCATTCATGGACTGTTTTGGACAACTTAAACATTTTATTTTTCAAAAATGTATTAGGTGCAAATGGTTCAAGTTCTTAACTTTAAAATGACTATTTGCACATCTCCATACGATTTTTCTACAATTTATGGTGATTTTTACAAAACTGCCTATTATTTCAAACATCAATCCGGACCAGTCTGTGATTATGGACTTGTTCACACAAGCTATAGGTCACTAAAAATCATGAGAAAATTATAGAGAAACTAGACTCATTTTCCAAACTCTCTGAATTTTTGGATTCTGAGTTGGTAAGAACAGGGATAGAAAACATTATCAACAGAAAAATACTATCAATTTCATTTCACCTTGTAACATGTTGAGCAAGGTGTATATCTTTATGTGATTATATGTTATTTCAATATATGACACTATTGTCTTAGTAGGTAGACATACATCAGTTAATAAATGGAGTTTGCTAGATAAAGCATAGAAATAATGATTTGTTATAATCAAAGCACATCTATTACGTACAAACATTTGAATAAACTATGTTAAGTATAGTTTATGAACATTACCACTTTTACCCTTGTTTTGATAAACTATAATAGGTATAGTTTATGACACATCACATAACACACTCATACAAAAAGAGTACATTTATACAAAAAGGAATTTCCATTACATTACACGTGAATTCGTTGATGACTTGTGTAAGACATTCGCTTCACTTTACCAATAAGTCCTATATTGTAACCAGTGTTTCCTGGAGGGAGAGCGTGATAGTTGTGTATAGATCTATATTGGGATTGACAAACCCACACCTGAGCTGCTTGCAACAACTAGACCGGCAGGTCTGTGGTGACAAATGCCATAACAGTTCCGACGCCTGAAGAACGTCGTTTCAAGCCATCTAGGTCATAGTATAGTTATAATAGCTCACATTAAGTATTAACAAACATAGAATTTACAGGAAATTCATGTAGATCAAACAAGTTTACGTAGATTTAAACTTGGATTATTTTATCATAAGTATAACAAATTACTTGTACAACTCGGTCTTTGGGTTTTAAGACTACTTTTACATATTAAGGAAAGTATTGGATTTTCTGGAACAAACTCTACTTTTACAAGAAAAAACTTTTCATAAACTGTCTACAGTTGCTTATGAACTCACCAACCTTTGTGTTGACATTTTTTCAAACAACTTGTATTCTCAGGAAATCACTAAACAGGTAACCAAGTGCTTTTGAGGATGGGACGTTAAAGCGTCAAACATATTCACATTTTGTCAACATATTGTAATTAATTTGGAAACATTTAATTCATACAATGATGTAGCTTTTTCAATTATATATATGTTGGTTGTGTTTGCTTAAATCACTATTGCAATTGTTGTTATGATGCTATACATGAAGTCCTCCACCCCCGGACGTTTCCGCCATCCTTGGTTTGGGGGTACGACATACATTTTGTAAGATCCACCGGTACTTCACCTTTTGGGTAAGGTTGTGAGGAAGAAGGAATGCAGCAGATCTAGGGATTGGTTATGGGTTCCCTTGAGGTGGATATGGTGTTAGTTCATCAAGTATGATCATAAGGGGTGTATGTGGACTAAGAATGATAGAATGAGAGCACTTGGTTCATGTTATGTTTGGTTAGCATTGAGGGGGTGTTGATTGGGTCCCTTCAGGTCAGTGGGTTAATGGTTGATTTGCTTTAGATCCATGTGGTGTTGGTTGTGATTCTTCAAGATAGTGATGGTGTGACATCCCCAAAATCACGGCCAGAAAAGACCGGTTTTGTTTATACTTTATTTCAAAATCAGAGTTATCTTTTAATAAAAGGGTTGCGGAATTTGTCACAAAACAATAATATGATAAAGATTTATCAAAATCATTTCCATAGAAATGTATTTCATTAAAAGACTCGGGATGTCATGTTCGTACAGATCAAAAGTATAAACAGTACAATATAAGCCTTACTACATTATTTCATATCTACAGGCCTATATCCGTAATCCCTCGTCCAAAACATCACACCTATGCTCATGCGCCACTACCTGTAATACATAAAACTGAGTGGGTTAGGCTTGGAAGCCTGGTGAGCACATAGGGTTTTCAACCCACAATAAATAAGTTTATTAATTTCATTGATCAACAATAATCCGATTACCCGTTCCCGTTATCCTCACTTTACATCCCTAAACACCTATCATAAGGGACCTAGCCTAAGGATCATCATCGGGACGGACACTACTGCTAAGGGGATTCCTCAGCAATAAATGTCCTAAAGGCAACCATGTGGGGGATGGAGTACACCGGTGAACACATCGTTCACAAACACCTACAGGTTGTGAGCCTGCTAGTGTTCCATCGGACTGTCTAGAAGAGTCCGTGGTCATCATCTA